GTTCTTATAGAATTTCATGAATTTGAGGTTAAATTCATAGTTGTTGATGTTATTTTAATGACTTGGTTGCACGAGCAAGTCCGTATGATGTTTTTAGACTTGCGTGCATGTTTGGTTTGGAGCCCCGAGGGCTCGGGTGAGTTTTGGATAGGCCACAGAGTGAATTTGGACTTAGAAAAATAGCTATTGCAGGTTCAGCTGTGTTGCAGGCTTTGATCTCGCAATTGCGAGGTCAGGCTTCGCAAATGCGAGCCCAACAGGCTTGGCAATTGCGAGGGTTTGATCGCATTTGCGAAGAAAACCCAGGCCTGCCTTGTTCGCAATTGCGAACCCCCCTTCGCAATCGTGAAGACATCAGGAAGGGCCAGTTATCGCAATTGCGATAAATTGTTCGCAATTGCGAGGGGAGCAGACAATGCAACAAGTTCGCAATGCGATGCCTGTTTCGCATTTGCGAGCTTCGCAATTGCGACATTTGCGACCTGTTAAGTGGGATATCAGACGGGATTTTCATATCATTCTTCAAAATTTTAAAACCTAAACTCCTAAGGGCGATTTTTCAAGAGCAAGTTCTTCCCTAAATCATAGGTAAACAATTGCTAACTCATTTTCTTCAATCTATTTCATCTTTTTACATGATTTCACCTCAAAATATAGGTTATTTCATGGGAAATTGGGTGTTTTTGGGTAAAAATTAGGATTTTCAAACATTGGAGAGTTGGACCTCAATTTGAGGTCGGATTTCAAAACTAATTGCATATTTGAGTTCGTGGGTGAATGGGTGATCGAGTTTTGGTTCGAACTCCGAGTTTTGACCAAGCGGGCCCGGGGTCGGGTTTTGACTTTTTGGGGAAATCATTGGAAAATCTATTTTCATGCATTAGAATTGGTTTATTTAGCATTTATTGATGTTATTAAGTAAACTATAACTAGATACACGCGAATTGGATGTGGAACCGAGAGGTAAAACAGTAGTTGAGGCTTAATCTTGTCCGTGGAGTCGAGGTAAATGTTTGGCCTACTCTTAGCTTGAGGGAATAGGAATTGTGGTCTTATTTGCTATGTGTTAGTATGAGTACGACGTATAAGTGTGGTGACGAGTATCTATACGTTGGTGTCAAGCATGCCCGTGAGTCTTATATCATGATTGTTGTGGCTCTATTATGTATCGTTCATGCTCAAATTGATGATTAACAATGTCACTTATGAAAGTTTCTTGGTAATTGACTATTGTTGAGTATTGACTCAATTTGAGTTTCATTTTGTAAAGTAATTGTTGAAAACGAGATTGGTTATAGCTGATTCCCTTGCCGGGATGTTATTGTCGATATTGTTGATTCCCTTGCCGGTACGTATTGTTTCTATTGCTTGGGTGAGGAAGATGTAAAGCACGAAGAGTGATGCCGTGCATGATATTGTGAGTGAGTGTAATGCACAAAGGGTGATGCCGTACCGATATTACGAGTGTTAATGCACGAAGGGTGATGCCGTACCATGATTTGAGAATTAATGCACTAAGGGTGATGCCATGTTGTTTCTGTTGTTTCATATGGTAAGGACGAGAGTAAAAGCACGAAGGGTGGTGCCGTGTACGTGTTACCGTTTCATTATTCTTGTTGATATAGATATGATGTTCATTATGGTTCTTTATTGATGCTTCTTTATTGGTTTATTGTTAGAGTCTGATATTCTCCGCAGCATGCCCCCTTCCCACCTTATTCTGTTGATTCCTGTTATTATGATTCTGTTTGTATATGATTTAACTACACATGTTTATATGGTTGTCGTGTCCTAGCCTCGTCACTACTTCGCCGAGGTTAGGCTCGACACTTACTTAGTACATGGGGTCGGTTGTACTGATGCTACACCTGCACTCTTTTGTGCAGATTTCGATACCGGATCCGGTGAGTAGCTGAGGTAGCTGCCTTCAGTCCAGGGAGACCAAGGTAGATCTTCTGACGTCCGTAGAGCCTAAAATTCCCCTTCCTTGTTTTAGCTTTCTGCTGTCTCTTTTCATTCCGAGAACAGTTGTACTTTTCTTTCTAGACCAGTGTTTGTAGAAATTCGTAGATATTCGTGAATTTGTGACACCAGATTTGTGGGTAGACATGTATTGGGTTAATTGAATTTGTTATAACTCTTCCGCACTTTTCATCTGTTTAGCTTTAGTTATTGTTTATATCTGTTTGGGTTGATTGCTAATGGGTTAAAACCTTAATAGTTGGCTTGCCTAGCTTTCACGAGTAGGCGCCATCAACGACTCCCGAGGGTGAAAAATCCGGATAGTGACAAAAAGTAATTATTAACACTGTATCAAGCAGTGGATAGGTTATTATAATGTTTACTGTAAAGGTGTTATCAATTAATCCAAAAGGAATTTTGGTAACAGCTACATAAATCATTAGAAAATGTAGTGATGACTACATTGTATTAATTAGATCTAATCTTTAAAATGACGTGCTAGCTAATGATCTAATTTTGGAATGCTAATTCTAAGCTGGTCAAGGATTGATTACTTATCGATGGACCGTTATACTACTAATTGACCCCCCACCCCCACTCACCCACAAACTCTTAACATTTACCTGTATGCTCATTTCACGCTATTGTTTCCCCGGAAGTTCGACGATTTTTAAGCATTATTGGCTAAAAAATATTGGACAAACGTGTTTTGGGGGAAGATGGTGGATGATTAAGAAGAAAGATTAATTAAGGTTTTTGAAGAAAGATTATTTATCGTGTGCTTTAATCTTCTCAAATTAAAGATGACAACAAAGTAAAAAACGAAAAGAAACCGAAAGTTTATATTGCTATGAGGGCCACACTACACTATCCTAAAAAATCCCTTAATTTTCCCGGGGGAAACCATACGTAAGCACTTACGCAAATATGAATATTCCAAATATAGACACAAATAAAGCTTGAAGATTAACCCTAAACAAACCAGTTGTTATGGAATTAATTAAATTTAAGGTTTGGTGTTATTCCATGTTAGTCCATATTTAAATATGGCCATAGCTAACAAAAGGGCCCCAAATTCTCCCACTAAATAGGAATTTGTGTTGTTAAAAAGCTGATCGGGTGGCTGACATGTGCTTAGCTTTTAAATTTAATTAATGTGCTTATTTTAAAACACATTTCGGTTTTTATTATTTTTAAGATCGGAATTAAACTCCAAATGCGCATTCACAGCTATAGGGTTTGTCGGCTAATTTGAAGCTTCTCTACACAATTATCATGGTTAAGTAGTGAGAGACTTATAATTAGGCCCTTGCTAAATATCAACATCAATCTTTTTCTCTTCTCCTTTCTCAAAGTCAATTACCGTCATGTGAGTTTCCTTTATAATGATAAACAACTAGCTGTGACAATATTGCATTAGCTAGTTAATTTATTTTATTTGTAAATCCTAGCCTAGCTAGGCATAAAGCTAACTAGGGTATTTTTTTTAACTTTATCATTGTTATAATCTGTATATGTTTAAGTTCATAAAAGAAGGATAATGTTTACGGTAAGTAATCTAAAGTTAGTTTAACAGCTTGTTTGGATGGTTGTTACATATCGTTTCATAATGTATCGTATCGTACTGTATTTTATTATACTGTATCGTTTGATGAATACAATATTTGGATAGATTGTGTCGTTTGCCATCGTTTCATGATATCACGCACCAGCAATATGAAACATAAACTTGTAGTATTATAAAGAAAAATTATGATACGGGGTAAAGTTACTATATAAAAAGGTAGGATAAATGACAAAATAAAATTATTTAATAATAATAAAGGGTGAGATTGAGAGAAAAAGACAAGGTAACGACGCAACCACACCAAATCGGTCGTTACATAAAGTGGCACATTTCGTCGTTATGTAACGACGGATTTAACGATATGATAAAATAAAATTTAAGTAATCAAAACAAACATCGTATTTAAAGTAACAATACGATACAATACAGTATGTAACAACCATCCAACCAAGCTGTAAGGAAGACAAAATTCTTTTTGACACTCTAGAATTCCACCAACAAAAAAGAGCAAATAAAATTGGGAGTTTTACCCAAATAGACAGCCGATTTACCTTTTATAATTAGTATATATATATGATACATTGATTATATACGATTATACATATATCATACATCAGTCATACATATATTTCGGCAATTTTTAATTAAGCGGTTGGATCGAGATGATTATTTATGCTAATCCTACCTAAACCCTGAACCCGAACTTTGAATCCTAAATCCTAAACCCTATAAATTATCTAATAACCGTGATCGAGTGAGGAAAACAGAATATCTTTTCTTTCTTTTTCCTTTTTGAAACAGATTGAAGAATTTAAATAGTTAGGAAAAGAACAGACATTCGTTGCGTGGGTTGGAGACTCAAATATTAAATTGTGTCGGAATTGCATAGATAACTTTTATATACTTTCTGCGCCAAACATGGTACCTTAATTAGTATACTAGTACATAGGAAGAGCATGATTAATTCCAATGGTTACATATTGTAAAATGTACATGGCGCACAAACTTATACTATTGTCAACACTTTTTGGTGGGGGAATACTGATGCTTTTTGAACATATTGCTAATAGTTTCTTTTCCTTTTCTTGCTACCAAATCAAAGAATAGTTTCCTTTACACAAAGAATGCTTAAGAAATTAAAACGGAGCGAATTTCCTAATATTCTCTGGATTTTCAAAAGTAAACATATACCCCCGCCTCCGGCAGCTTACTTTAAAAACTATATATATATATATATATATATATATATATATATATATATATATATATATATATATATATATATATATTTTTTCTGTACAATTTGTTTTTTCGTTATTCAAGAAATTCTCTAACGTTTCCCACAATGACAGCATTTTATAAACAACAAATTAAGGTGCATTCAACAAAACTAATTATTTTTGAAACGGATTACAAATATATCAATAAAAATCACTAAATAATAAAATATCAAAAAATATACACTTTTAAACTCATAATTCCAGAAGTACTGCAATTGTTTGATCAATATCAAGAATCTTACAGGTCAAATGATCAAGTTAAAATCTTGAATCCGTCGATAATAATTCAACAACAATGAGGTGAGAATACTATTTCTAGCATGAATCATATCCACGATTCAATGAATTAACATGAAAAAGTAGCTCTTCAATATTCTACTCCATCAATTATCTGATGAATATTATTAACTCTAATGTGACGTTGAAACTGGTAAAGTTGTTGGTATGTGACTAGGAAGTCACGGGTTCAAGCCGTGGAACCATCCTCTTGTAAAAATCCAGGGTAAGGCTGCATGCGATATACCATTATGATCCGATATTTCCTCGCACCCCACGCATAACGTGAACTTAGTACACCGGGCTTCCCGGTAACTAATGTGACGTTGAAACAATAACCTGCCAAATTCTAATTTCTCCATCCAAGCTTCCACTAAAAACAGAAAGAACACCATTATTACTTTCATTATTATCATCATCCCAAGCTGCTGTAACTGTCTTCACTGGCATACAATGCCCTTCAAGAACTAACGAGCAAAAATATCCACATTCTGTATTACTACTCTTTTGCCATATCCTCACACTTTTATCAGATGATCCACTAATTAAAACATCATTAATATAAATCAGACACAAAATTGCACCCTTATGTCCTCTTAATGACCACGTAGCCAACATATAATCAGCACAATATTCCTCTCTTTCCCATACTAATATTTTTTCATCACATCCTCCTGAAAATAAAACTGATCCTTCCTTATTCAAAACCAATGCATTCACTGTAGAATTGTGTTTCTTTAATGTAGCTACTAAAATATGCTTATCTTTTTCTCTTTGCCACACTTTTATTTCCCCATCAGCCGAAGCTGTGTAAACGATGCCGTTTTGAGAAACAACAATGGCGTTAATAGCATCAACATGACCTATAACGGATTCTAAACAAGAAAAATTCGACATATTCCAAATTTTGAAGCTTTTATCCCATGAAACTGAATACATTAACCCCTCATTATTAACAGCTAATCCTGAAACAGTATCTGCATGTTCTATCCAGAGTTTTTGCTTGTGACGTCTAATTTGGACGTAATTTTTTGGAGAAATGCCACGTCGGATTCGATCTTTTAAAGTTGGAAGAGTTGACAGGAGATGATGTTTTTTGGAGGAGGGTGTGAGTTGCCAAACTCTAATTTTGCAATCTTGATGAGCTGTGAAGATTTTTGTTTTGCTAAATGCAATTGATTTTACTATGCCAAAAGATGAAGTTGTTTGATGGCTGAATGTGTCGATTTGTTCATAGGTTTTTAAATCAAAGGCAGTGATTTCGTTGAGAGATGTAGCGTATAAAATGTTGTTGTGAATGGCTAGATGGGAAATTTGTGGGGTTAAGGTATTAAAAGTGGTTATGCAAGAATGAGATTTGAAAGATTTTGGGGAAGGAAAGGTGTCAATACTGCAAGAGCTGGTTTCTTCATATGTTGCTGTTGAAGTAGTGCTTTGTTTTTCAGAATTTGAATCTTGATCATAAGTTGATGAATATTGGCCATTATTGCAAAACCATGTTGGGACCTCCATTATTTCTCTCATTAATTAGCTGCTGAGAAATGATAATAGAGAAGCAACAAATTAATGAGATTAAGTGTTTGGAAGGGTTTGGTTTGAGGGGGTATTTGAAGGCTGTGGCAAACTGTAGGGCAGAATAAAAAAATGCAATGCAAAAGGGTTATAGAATTAATTTGACGTCTGGCCCTTGATTTGGTGTATAATAATTTTTTTTTTGAGACCTCTAATCGAGACTTTGTGATGGAGCAAACAGTCATGTTAATGTTAATTGATTGGTCCAAATGTTGTCCAGTGAGAATTTTCACATTTTTCTAATGAATGAAAAAGTAAAACCTAGTATAGAGTAATACTATACGTTAATAGCTGCCGCATTTTTCATTTACTTATATTTGGTCGTCTAGGCTCGGTCTATCAAATATGATTATGTAATCTAGCTCTCAGCCATCTATACATTATTTAGTGCAGCTTGTGTATCTAAATAAAAGAAAATTTAATGTATATATTACTTTAAGTTGAATCCCCTTGGCCATCTCTCTTTTGCAAGGGGAACCTTGAATCAATGATAAAGTTGTCTCTTAACCTATAGTTACGGGTTCGAGTTCGTAGAAGCAACCACTAATACTTGCATTAAGGTATGCTGTCTACATCTCACCCATAGAGGTGCGGTCTTTTCCTAATCCCTACGTGAATACGAGATACTTTGTGCTTTGTACAGGCCATCTCTCTTCTCTCTTCAAACACGAGTACAACCAAGGAAACAAAAATAAAAAAGAGTGAAAGAGCTAGGAAGGGAGGCTTGAGTGAGAGTCAGGCTAGGGAAATTTCATGGGCACTTCAAAAATTAAGCATGAAATGCCTTTTTAAATAAACTATGGATGAAAAAAGAACAAAGATGGTCTTAGAGAGGCTTGAGAAATATAATAGTGAAAGACTACGAAAAAGCGTTTCGTGGAGCACATGCAGTGTTGCGGAAATTGTGGAATTAGTCTGATAATGAAGCTCCATCAATATATAATTAATACCATTAACCTTTTTTCTGATTTTATGACAAAGTACTAAGAATTTGATGAGATCTGCTCAAAAAGACGCACTCGTCGTTCGTTTTTAGTGTGCGAGTCGGCAGGTATATATGTTTCTGTTAACATATTATAATAATAAAATTAAAGGCAAAGCAAAGATGAAATTTTATTATATAAGCCACTAAGTTTTTTAGTTTATGGCTTTGCAAATTAAGGTTGCTTTAGAACTTTCTTGTCCGTAAGGCGACTCCACGTCAAATGTCAACCACTTTGAAGCAAATAGAGGAAAGCATGACTCGTATTATCTTTTGACCCCCCAAAAAAAAAAAGACATGATCGTCTATTAAGACTTTAAAGTGGAAACCAGTACAAATGTTCCATATTTGACTTAAGCAAGAAGTTTATTGAATATGCGGAAATAGAAAATTCTTATAATGTAAATTGTTTTTGGTGAAAACTCTAGAGGTTGATCTTTAAGTCAAAATGGACAAAAGCATTAATTAATAAAATGTAATCTTATAAAGTGCATCTTGTTATAAATAAAGTGAATGTAAATGGATGTTCGTTTAATCCATCCATACATTTTATACAATGTACTACTTGGATAGATGTACCTATTAATTCCTAGGATGTATCTAGTGAGTTTTGGGTGTATCTTGTATAGTATAAATAGGATATTCTTTGCCTATAGAAGAACACACAAGAAACACACTTGAATAAGATAACTTTTACATTCTCCTCCTATACATCTTGTCTTTATTACTATATTGTTCTATTTTGCTCTCATTTCTTAATACGTTATCAGCACGAGGTTCTAACCAACTGAGGTTATCTGCTTCATCCGAATTTTATCTTCTTCCTAAAAGAGGTAGTCAGTTTCTTTTCCGATTCAGGTATACATTCCTATGTTTATAATATTTCTATTAGGATCTTCTTTAACATGCAGTTTAATTACCATATGCATAACCTGTTTTGAATATGATTATAATAATTGCATTGGTATGAAAACAATAAGTTCCAATTAAATTGTTATTTCATTATATAAACTATGATGAAGTTTAATCATACACATAAATAAATAAGTATTAAAATTGAAAATAATAGATGTATCGTATTGAATGTTGAAACGTGTCAGAATTGATATCATCTAGTTTTATGCCTACTTAGCTAATTGAAACGTATTCTAAGTAGAACAAAATTATAATAGTATATATTAATTCAACTTATTTATTCTATGAAAATATACTTACATATCTAAAGTTTTGGTGGGTAATATTAAACACTAATTTATCATCGCACTGCACATAATTATTTATTTGATAAATATACATATAGAATATTAATACAAGATTATGTACTGCACTGGATTTTTCATTGATAATAATTCTTGTCATTCTAATTCACTTATTTCTATGATAGTTTTCACTATGTCGAATTTGTCAAAGCTTGAATTTATGGCACTTGACATCTCTGGAAATAACTATTTGCCATGGGTACTTGATGCTGAAATTCACCTTGACGCTAAAGGTCTTGGTGACACTATTAAAGAAGGAAATGAAGCATCAAGTCAGGATAAGGCGAAAGCCATGATTTTCCTTCGCCATCATCTCGATGAAGGGTTAAAAAGTGAATATTTAACCTTGAAAGATCCATTTCAATTATGGACTAGTTTAAAGGAACGATATCACCACCTAAAGGCCACGGTATTGCCAAGAGCTCGTCGTGAGTGGATGCACTTATGACTACAAGATTATAAGACCATAAGTGAATATAATTCTGTTGTATATAGAATAATTTTCCAACTAAAATTATGTGGGGAACCTATGAATGATGAGGACATGCTGGAAAAGACTCTTTCCACTTTTCATGCCTCAAATATGGTGTTACAGCAGCAATACCGTGAAAAGGGCTTTAAGAAATATTCTGAGTAAATTTCATGC